ACATCCACCATATACAGGGATAACAGATAAAATAATGATCACTATACACTAGAATAGTAAATAATAGTAGTAACCATTACATACTATGCGCACAACATGTGGAGTGAGGGGTGGTGGTGTCTCGAGTCTTGCCCTTAATAATAAACGTTTAAAATTTGCGCCAAAAATGAATATACAAGGAAAAGTCATATTTAGGGAGCTTAATACTTGCTTATTATCCGAACTCCATTAAAACAACAAGAAACACACTTTTTTGTTGTTATTCGCTCAGCAATCATTAAAATGTACACGGAAGGCGTTTACAACTTTGTTTCAATTTTTCAACTGTGAAGGCTCTATGTTTGACGCACAAATCCAACCTGTGCGTGTAAAAAGTAATATTAACATAAATAATGACTTATTTACCATACAGCTTAGTACTTTGATATATTTTTAGTTAATTATTGTTTATAAATAATGGACAAATATTATTTAAAAAAGAAATATCCTGTTGTTTTCTTGACAAAGATACAGAGGTTCTCTGAGAGTAACTATGATAAAAATAAATTCTGTATTAACTTATACCTTAGGAATGGTTTAGTAAAACACAACTATTATCTTAAAACTCCTATGTATTATATCCTTAGGCTTAACAATTTTCCATATGATATATATTATGTATCTATATATGTCTAAACTATGTTTTATATAATGAAATAAAATGAATAAATTGAGGTAAACTTATAAATAGTTTAAAATAATAAAACGAAAATAAAACAACATATGGTATTGTATTATATAATTGCTTTTAAGTTTATAAGAACTTTACTGTATAATATAAATATTATGTTATTTTATTATCAACTATAATGTATCATTTAAAAATTGGTGGACTGAAAGTGAACCCCCTTCTTAAAAAATCACAGTTGTTCACCTGAAATATGCACTGGGATAGTAGATAACAATAACATACAACTCAACAGTAAATAACAAATATAACCACCATATACTGGGAAAGTAAATAACAAATATAACCACCATATACTGGGAAAGTAAATAACAATATAACCACCATATACTGGGAAAGTAAATAACAAATATAACCACCATATACTGGGAAAGTAAATAACAATTATAACCACCATATACTGGGAAAGTAAATAACAAATATAACCACCATATACTGGGAAAGTAAATAACAAATATAACCACCATATACTGGGAAAGTAAATAACAAATATAACCACCATATACTGGG